CAGCAGGATGTGGAAAAATAATAGAGAAGAGGGGGGAAACTTCAAGTCACAGGGTCCAAATTGTGCACCTAATCATGAGAAGGAGGGGAGAAAGGGATGAGGATATGAGATGACGGAGAATCTATATGGAGTCAGAGAATACCTTCTAGCAATGAGAGCTCAGCATATGTCAAAGGAAGATTATGTATCTACCTGTAGGTGAAGATGAATGGTTTGTGTTTTGTCATAGAAGGGGAGGGTGTTTAATGTAAAAAATAAGTTGTCATCCGGGCAGATATATTACAGATGACCAAGTCTTAGAGTATTGGAAAAGATTATGTGTGTAAAATAAATATTTAGTTGCTTTACAAAGCATGCTGAAGTGTAAAATATTCACAGGGAAAAAGGCATTGCTATTTCTACCAATACAATCTCCTGCCCCACCCCCTGCATCTGCTCATAATTTAAATACTGTTAGTTTCTGATTTTGTGACATGCAGGATTGGATAAAGACATAATGTAATCGAATCCATCTTATAACTTATTAATATAGCTGGTCTTAATTACATGATGTATAAAACTGGAAAAATACTAGAAAGAGAGTAATTCTTTCCTTCACATCAACACACCTCACGAAACAGGCATTTTTGGTTCTTATCTTCCTAAAGCCAGAGCTGACTATCCGCTGTCAGGAGTGATGCATGCACAGCTGTTCTTTCCTTTGGGCAGGGAAGTGGATAAATGACCTTTCAAGGTCCCTTTGACAAATGGGATCCCCAACACCTATCTAACCCCAGTTGTTTTTTTTTTTCAGACAGAGCAAGGAGGTGAGCAGAGGGCATGGGGCCAGGGTGGTAAGCTTAGGGGAGGCATCCTGTGATCAAATCAGTGATAGGCACTGCTGGTTTACAGTATCTGATGCTATTTTAGTTCATCCTTTTAGATATGTTTCAAGTATTTTCTTAAATTGAATCAAAGTGTATCAGCAGAAAGCTATTTAAAAGGTAATATATATTTACATACACCTGAAACAACCAGATCTTGGAATGCAAAATTTACACATGCCCAGTACTACTGGACAGATCTCGTAAATTAGATCCTAAACCTATATTTAGATGCCTATCACTTGAAATGTTAAATTGTTGAACCTTCAGAAGTTCACATTGCCACTGATGGCTGCTGTAGACAGAAGGCATTTCTGGCTCTAATTAATTTGGTTTGAAGTTGCTCAGGGATATAGTTCATCCTGTTGATAATGTGACACTATCATTGTGTGAATTAAGTGAAGATGGATGCTTTAGGAGTGGTGACAGGAACTATCAGCTGATCCATCCCTAACATTGCAGTCTTTATGTGTGGACATACCTACTGACATGAAGATGTGCCTTTTCACAGTATTTCAGTGTTATGGGTTGAAATAAAAAAAAATTCAGATTGTTTCACACACAAGTACTGTGTAATGTTTTTCTTGCTCTCTGGGCAAAATGTCAGGCAGATGGATATACTGCTTATTTTAAGGTAACTTGGTTTTGATTATTTTTCTATTTCATCTTGAATAAGTTGTACTACGGTGACGTTTTCCAAATGTAATGGTGTTTGCCCATTGTTTAGTGCTAATAATATCTTTCACATCATTAATAATTATTACATAATTATATTTTCTCCTGTTGATAAACACTGTGTTGGAGATGTTTAAATAAAATTATGGTTATAAAAAAATGACCTCCAAGAAATTAGCCTTCCTTCACAGGGTGAGGAACACATTTGCTCACTTTTTTAACAAAATGGAGTTTTTACTATGTTTACCCTGTTTAGTCTTGCTCTGCTTTGAGACAGTGCCACAGATTTCAGCCTAGTGTAGGCATGGCCAGAATTGTTAATGAAGTTCCTCCTGCTGGATTAAACATTACCTTTATTTATACCTCATATATCACCAAACAGCACCAGTGGAATTGGCTGACATAAAATGAAGGGAAAATTTCTTCCTTTACCCCACCTGTAATTGATTTATTTCTTGGAAAGGCTAAACTAAGAGAAGAACATAAGTCCATTTTCAGATGTCAGGGTAGCTTTGTGGTACTTGTATTTCAAAGTGGAAAAAATTATACTTGAGCTCTAAAACAAATTCTAAATTCTGCAGAAAATCTGATCCTTTCAGTCATGGAGACACAACAAATATGGAATCTTATTAAGCAATTTTCACAGAGTCACTTTACAAAAGGCAACTATTTCAAGGTTTTATCTAGTGCTACCCTGCTTGTCTCACTGCTCTTCAGACAGTAACTGCAAATGTATCCTCCTTCACATGTTTTTATTTTTTTTTCCTAGTTGCAGTCTTTTCGTAGCTTTATCTATAGTCTGTTCCACATATGTCTATTATTGTGGCCAAAGCTTAAGTCAGTCTTTGGGCATTTGTGATTTCTACTGACAATCTAATTTCGTAACATCAAAAGTGTCATCCCAATATTGTATGCTCTGGATGAGTGAAGAAAAAGAGATGTCATACTGATCCTTGTTATCAATCAGGTGCATTCTACTTCATTAGCCAAAATGGGAAGGGAAAAGGCTATGACAAACAATGTGTCAATCAAGTTTTATCAAATCACAGGTCAGAAACTACAAGATCAAACTAATGCCTAGGTTTCACTAGACGTGGTCCAGACAGGTCAGACATGTGCTGTTGCTTGCAGTCTGTGGATGTCTGTTGACTATGTGACATCGTAGAGGGATGGATGGATTTAAAGGCATGTGTGTTTGTCCCAGTTGTTTGTATTCGACAGGTGACAGTCCACTTTTGCATATTTGATGCCTTACTGCAAGGAAAGACAGTAAGCCAGTAGAGTCCTTTATTCTGCAAATACTGAAACTTTCAGAATACTGATCTGAGTAACATGGGCATGATTTCTTAGTGCTTTTTGTGACAGATTTGGGGCACAAAATGCAGCTTGAAATGCACACAAGGCTGAGCTATTGTTGGAGCTTGGGAAACATGAATGTATTTGGGTTTACAACTGCCCAATCTGTAACCTCAGCATTGCTACGGCAGAGCTTACCCGTGGACATCCACCTGCCAAAGCTATATTGCTTCTCTAACTCGTGACTGAAATATATGTGGTGTTGCACACCCATAATTCAAGAAATCTGAGACAACAGAGGCTGTATTTGTGGTATCATTGGCTACTCGTCTTATTCCTGCATGTAATGAAGACTGGTTTTTGACGACTCCAAGACAGAATACTTCATAAGACAAAGGTCTAAATTATAATTGAAATGAGTCATACTTTTTGCCCATTTTTTCTTGATGTAAGCAAAGAAGCTCTTTTCTTTCATAATCTTAACAAGGGAGAGGGACAATGCTGTTTATTTAAATTCTGCTTCTTTGTTTGAACACAGGAGTATTTTTTTTTCAAGTAAAAAATAAATGTATTTTGGAGGAAAAAATAATTAATCACAGAAATTGTAATTTAGCAATATTTTTGTGTGTTTGACAGATCAGAAATTCCTATTTGGAATAGCCTTCCTCAGGTGGAAACAGTCCTACTCCCAGGTGAACTCTGAAATTTTAGGACATGCGTAGTAGGAATAAATCCAGGATGTGCATTTTTACAAAGAACAAACAGTTTAGGCTGATAGTGACAGATATATTTAAGGAAAAGAAGTGTCAGTATTCAAAAACCTACCTGCAATAAGGTTTACTGACACTAGAGGGCATAAACGCCATTAAAAATAAATGCAAATGAAAAAGCATTTTTAAATGCGTGTTACGAATACACGTGCCCTCTCCCACCTCCTTCGAATTCATTTACATTCTTAAAAAAAAAAAATTACATTGATTGAAGTCTGTTGCCTGCTCCCATCTTATTTG